CTGGGTTATAAAATAAGTCAACAATGTGGCTACAAAAGGGGCAGGTCAGTAAAGGTCGACTGCAAGCTCTTAGTGTTTTCAAAAGTTAATGGGAGGCATTACTTGGCCATGGTCTGCAATTGAATTAATTAAGTAATTACAAGTAGATTCAGACCTAAACAGTCTCAGGTGGCTAACAGCTGGAACAGAGAGTGTTAACTCTGGTAGAATGCAAGATGCATGTGTGGATCGAACTGATCCTAAACGTGACTGAATATTGGTTATTTTGCCTTCAGCTCATTCTCCCACTGGGCTCATTATGCAAAGGGAAGATAGTATTATAGAATGGATTTCTTAGCACATAAAGTAAAAAATTAAAGACTTACATTAAAAAGGTTTCTGAATTACTCATAAAAGGTAGAATAAAGACAATGCAGCCACCCCTGATGAGACCTAATTGGCTAGGATCAGAAGGAAGGAAAAGAAGTCCTCTCCTATCAGTAGACTTGGGGAGGGGCATGCGTGCAGAGGGGGGAGGAAGGGAGGGATTGGGACAGGAGGAGGGAGGGAACCACAGAAGGGATACAAAATGAATAAAGTTTAATTAATAAAGAAAAAAAGAGTTTAAAAAAAGGTAGAATAATATGTCGATTGTGAGGAACAGACCCAGCCAAAACTGTTGTGCTTCTTTCTAATGCTGAGATTGTGTCGTTATGGGTAGTAACTACATAGGAGAAATTAGTAATAAATATCCTAAAAGCAAGCATCTGCAGTTTATTAAAAGAACTAATTGGATTCTCCCATGTATCCTAAAGGTAACGCCAACTCCTGAAGCACCCGCAGTCTATACTGATGCAAATAAGTTTAGAAAGGCAGGCGATGAGTCAGACAGCATCAGATTTTCCTGAATCTCTCAGTGTGCAGAAAGAGTTGTTTTGTGTATGGAAGCTGCTGAATTTACCCCTGATAACTCAGAATTAACCCTGTTGCTTATACACCATGAAATCAGACATAGGTTGTTCATTTACTCAGGATCATACTGTAAGACCTGGGGTCTCACAGCTCAGGAGTTTAGGATGGCACCCTTCCCAGAAACTCTCACAGACCACGTAACTCATTGCAAAAGCAAGAGGTTTAATTTAACCATTGCGCAATGGGGTCACCCCTGCAAGTCAGCAAAGAGTGGCCCTGGGAGACAAAGGCTTTAGGTTTTTAAAAGAAAAATTGTGGGAAATTTGAAGTTGCAGTTTTGGCAATTTAGGATTGGATGAGGAAGCTATAAAGTAAGATAATTGGTTAGTCTTAGGTGCTCGAGCTTGGCCAGTCCTGCCAAGTGTGGATGCAGCTGCAATTGAAGGTGGGGTGGTTAGCTCATCCTTGAAGATTTGGCTGGAGGTCAGGAGCTACTCGGAAGAAGGATTGAGGCCATCTGGGTTCGTTGCTAAGAAACACTATCTTGAAGACAAGGGTCTGGTTGTTGTTTTTGCTGAGTAAAGGTCATTGCTTGCTCGCTTTTTTTTTATGTCTGTCCTCACAGATAGGGTCACATTCCTCCATTCTCTGGAAAGGTACTAAGAGGCTTTAGCTTAACCTGGACCTAAAACTCAAAACTCAGCTTTAGAAGACATACAGGTTACAAAGTTAGCCTAGCCCTTTCAATACAGGTTTGTCCACTGACAAGAAAATGATGAAATTGACCAATTATTAAGAGAAAGTGTGTTAGAAGCCTCAAATTTTCATGAAAAACACCAAACCAAGGAAATTATTATTTTTTTAAATGTCCGGTTTGTTCTCTGTGTAATCAAACTCCATTTCCTGCAGGAAGTAACTCCAGGGATGACAGAAGAAATAAAATCTGGCAGGTGGATATGTTTTGTTTTGCAGAATTTGGAAAACTAAAGTGTGTACACCATACCATTGATACATAATCAAGGTTTCAAAAAGCAACTGCTTTAGGCTCTGAAAAAGTCAGTTCTGTAATTACATATTTATTGGAAATAATGGCAATTATGGGGATACCTGCACAAATTAAGACTGATTATGCCCCCACATATGTCTCCAGTAAGATGAACAATTCTTTGCCTGTTATAATATAAACCACATCATGGGTATAGCACCAACCCTACAGAACAACAGTAGAAAGATCTAGCCGCAGTCTAAAAGAAATACTTATAAGGCAAAAAGAGAAAGTAAAGGCCACCAGGGACAGACTAATAATGCTTTATTAACCTTAAACTCTCTGAATGGTAATGAAAAAGGAACAACAGCACCCAAGAGACACTGGGTTATGGGGAAAACTGTGGGATTAAGTCATCCTATATACCATAAGGATGTGTTTACATCAGAATGGAAATCTGCAATAGTTTTGCATCAGGGATGGATCTGCTTGTGTTTCTACAGGGAATGAAAAGCTGTGGATGCCATCAGAACTTATAAAGATTAGAATTAAGCAGGGAAGAGCTCCTGAAAACCTCGACCACTGATCTGAAAAGTGTTTAGTTTGAAATGTCTGTTTCAATTATTGGCTTAAAACAGAAAGAAGGAAACGTAGTGAGAATTTTTGTCACGTTATGTGAACATGTTTTTGTTTTATCCTCAGGCGTGGAATGTGGGGCTGCTTCAGGTTATGCACAGCAGCTGACTAGGATTGTCTCGTGCTCTAAGAGGGGCATGAATTTTGCCAGATGCAGATGGTTTAAGTTTGGAATTCTGGAGACTTGTAGGTGCCAGAACCCTGAGATGGGCCAGAGGCTCTGCAAAGAGTCGGCTGCTGCTCCCTCTGCTGCTGCAGTTTGTCAAGTTGCTGTGCGCAGAGACAAGTGGAAGAAATTGTATATCCTGTCGGCGAAGATCAAATCTGCCCCAAGGAACTTGACGCCCCTAATGAGCAGAAAGTAGTCTAAGGAGATCTACACCCCCTTTCACCTCTAAGTTTCTTTATCACCTACCTAGTATTGGGGGGTTGGAAGGAATCAGGGTGGAGGAGGTTGGAAGGAATTGGGATAGGAAGGGTAGTAGATATAAAAATTGAACAAAGTAGCCAAAAAGCCTGGTTACAGAAGGGGGCGCAATTCACAGGACTCAGTTGGACTGCGCTATGTGGGGTTGTACTGTGTAGTGAGAGGTGGTGGTGGCGGCGGCAGCTGCTGCTGCTGTGTTTATCTCTTTTGAGATGGGGTCTCTCTGCAGCTCAGGCTGTCTGGAACTCACGTATGTAGCCTAGGCTGACCTTGAACTTAGGGCACGCCACCTTCCTTGGCCTCCTATATCTGGGATTACAGACCCAGCTACCACTCTGTGTTGTTAGTCATCTTAGGGATGGGAACACTGAAGGATGGAAACAATACACCACTGAGTCAGAATCACATTGCTGGGAATGTTAGCACTTGTACTGAAGTGCTCTCCCATTCTCCTGCGCACGGGTGGGAACAGCTTCTTCCCAGGTGAGTGAGGAGGACTCCCTGATGCCGTCTCCCTGGCACAGCAGCAGAACTTCAAGACCTCTCTCAGCCCAGGCCACAGAGCTGGTGGCATGGCCAGGCTGCCTCTCTCCAGGCCCCAGGACAGGAAAGGGAGTGAGGAAGAAACATCAGCGAGACCCAGGAAGCATGCAGAGTGAGTGGAGTCAATCCTCTCAGAACCCCCCAGCCCCAGCCCTGACTCTCGCATGCCTGGCTTCCCTCAGACCTTCCTGAAAGAGAAGAAAAACATTCCTAGTAGTCAGGTCCAGGGATCACCTGGGGCTGGGGACATGGTTTCAGGTCCCCATTAGATCTGTCTTTTGTGTTCAAGGAGAAAAAACAGCCAAGAAGTTCTGGCCTAGGGTCTCCCTGACCAGAACCAATTGTATCACCAGGGACAACAGGGCAACCAGAATGTACAGGGCACAGGAAGAGTACTGCAGTCCATATTCTAGGAGAAAACCATGATGCTGACTTGAAAGGAGGAGCAGGGAGCCGCGTAAGGTTGGGACCAGAGCAAGTTGAAGCAGACAGTCTAGGGGAGGGCGGGGGGCAAGCTGTGAAGACAAGTGATGGAAGCTGTGAGAGCCTCCAGAATGCCAGTAGGGACATGGGAGGTGGAGCAGTGTGTTCGAGGGGGCACATCAGGGACCTAGCGGCAAGCTGGGAGCAGTGTTGAATTGCTGGTAAGCACGGCAGAGAAGCTGCACTTGCCATGAGCAACCCTGGCCTCTGCCCTCAGAATCCGCTTCAAGGCTACTGCTGAGCATCTGAGCTGGGCTGGGCACCTGCTGAGGTGTCCCTAGCCAGGAGCGAGGCCAGGTGGAACCAGGCTTGCTGCCCTGGGCAGCACTGAACCACGGACTGGAAAGGGCACCAGAACAAAAAGCATCCTGCCACAAAGCCGCCCTCCCAACACAGGGGCTCTGAACAAGCGAGGAGGTCCTCGGCTGGAAGGAGCCCCAGGCTCACATTGGGAGGGATGTGCTGGAAGGGGCAGAAGTAGACAGAGCAGGAGAGGGGCCCAGCGCTCGCCGGAGGACCCCCAGTGCTGGTTCACAGCACCAAAGGTGGCTCAGCTCCGAACACGGTTTGTCAAGAGGGGAAGGAGATGACAGTGTCTGGGTGCTGTAACACTTCACAGGACAGCTGAAGAAACAGAGGCAGGAAGAGGGGAGGGGAAAGGGCCAGGCAGCCCTCCTGGCTTCCAGTCTCCAGCTTCCAAGTAGCGGCCTTTAGACACTCTCCGCACTGAAGGAAATTGAATGAGGGGTAGAGTCTCCCTAAAGCCTAACCAAAAGATCTTCCAGGCCAGCCTGAAGACCATGGACACCGGAGTGAAACGAGCTGCCGGCCAGAGGACAGAGCCTAAGCACCACGCGGGACACACAGACACACACACAATGAGGTGAAAATGAGTAGCTGAGCACTTGGAATAGCAGGCAGGCCAGGCTTTATTGACTTTCTCCAGGGCCCAGCTTTGGGCTGTGGACATGGGGCATGGGGGAGGGGAGGGGAGCAGGGCTGCTGGGCTGACGAGGGATGTGACTGCCTGAACACTCAACAGATGACAGATGTCTTCCGACTTGACTCCACTGTCTTCTTCAAGATGGTACGGCAGCTGGAGCCAGAACCAGAACTGAAGCCAGAGCCAGAACTGAGGCCACAGCCAGACACTGAGCAGAAACTCATGCTGGGGCTGTACCCAGATCCCTGGGGGATGTCAAAGCCGCCAGTTACGATGCTAGAGCAGCCTCCAGACCCAAAGCTGCCTCCCCAGCCCCTGAGCCCACAAGTGCCCCCTTCGCCATCACCAACTCCTCCAGGCTTGACCACTTGGCCTGCACAATCTCTTCCAGGCATG